CTTAATCTAACCTAGCAACCCTAACCCAACTAAACTTCTAACCAAGAAAAACATGGTAAAAATAGCCGCCAGCGGTAAAGAAGCTCCTCAAATACGACATAAAACCAATATTCCACATACGCATTCCTGTGTTATATTGTGACGAAATATACCCGCGTGGTGTTACCTTCTCAAAAAATACGCATATACCCGCATCGTTCTGGGAATATACACACATCTCTCCCTGAAATAAGTAAATATACCCGCATCGAGTAGTGTCATATAATGAGGATACACACACACACACACACACACACACACACACACACACACACACACACACACACACATATACACACACACACACACACACACACACACACACGCGTTCATCTGTTATAAGGAAACATTACAGCGCTTTACACATATCAATAAACTATGTATACTGTATAAGGAGAAATATCACACAAAGATTATATATAAAAAATATATTAAAGTCATTTATATATATATATATATATATATATATATCACCATTAATAATACAGGTACTGTATATATTAATTAATGTTAATTACTGAAGTCCTACATTATAGAATCTCATTAGCTGCTCAGGTAAACTTAGGTAAACTTAGGTAAACTCTTATACTTACAAATACGGTTACAATAGTTAGGTTTAATGTTAACTCTATAATATATGTACGCGGAAGACATTGTGTCAAGCTGAGTTAACATATATTACGATTTATTTCTATTTTTAATTATAATTGATATATTTTTTGGAAATCATAATATTTTTTTTTACACCTGGAAGCCAAAAAAAAAATACATTCATTCAGAGATTCGATACAGAGACTCATTTAGCATCGAGACTAATTAATATTTATCACTGAAGCTAAATAAAAAAAGTGAAAATTAAAAATAGTCATTGAAAATCATCACACGAAAAGAAATGCGTATATGACTGTCACTACCAAACCAAAGGAAGTTGGTTGGGTTGGAGTTAGGTTAAGGTTAGGTTAGGTTAGGTTAGGTTAGGTTGGGTTAGGTTAGCATTAAGGTGGTTGGAATTAGAAATTAGGGTAGTTTGGCTCAGGTTAGATTTAGATTAGGTCAGGTTAGGTTGGAATTAGATTAGATTAGGTTGGTTTAGCTCAGGTTAGATTAGGTTAGCGTCGGGTTGGTTTTATCTTAAAAGGTGAACTAAGCTGGGGGCTTTAATCTTCATAACCCATCAATGGTAGGATTGGGTTAGATTAGATTAGGTTAGTTTAGCTCAGGTTTAGATTAGGTTAGCGTCAGGTTGGTTTTATTTTTAAGGTGAACTAAGCTGGGGAAGCACCAATCTTCACGCAACCCATCAATGGTAGGTTAGGTTAGGTTAGGTTAGGTTAGTTTAGCTCAGGTTAGATTAGGTTAGGGTCAGGTTGGTTTATCTTAAGGTGAACTAAGCTGGGGGAAGCTTTAATCTTCACGCAACCCATCAATGGTACTCAATGACCAGCCCAGAAATACTTAATAAGAAGATGAATTAATTTTAGAGCAACTTTTTCAGTTTTATATTTCACTCACCCTACTCCCAGGCTCCCGCGGCAACTGGTGTCATAAGTCAAGCGAACTGTTTGATGACCCTGACAGCCTCTTGTTTTTGTTAGTCTGAAGACATCTTCTGTATTTGCTCTGTTACGTCCCCTGAGACATCTTCCGTTGCTCTGTTACGTCCCTGAGACATCTTCCGTTGCTGTAGAGTCGTAAGACATCTTCTGTTGCTCTGTTACGTCCCCTGAGACATCTTCCGTTGCTCCTGTAGAGTCATCTGGGCTATCTCCGTTTGCTCTGTTACGTCCCCTGAGACATCTTCCGTTGCTCTGTAGAGTCATCTAAGACATCTCGTTGCTCTGTAGAGTCATCTAAGACATCTCCGTTGCTCTGTTACGTCCCCTGAGACATCTTCCATTTGCTCTGTAGAGGTCATCTAGACATCTTCCACCCGTTGCTCTGTAGCGTCATCTAAAGACATCTTCCGTTGCTCTGTAAGTCATCTAAGACACATCTCCCGTTGCTCTGTTACGTCCCTGAGACGCTCTTCCGTTGCTCTGTAGGGAGTCATCTAAGACATCTCCGTTGCTCTGTTGTCCCCTGAGACATCTTCCGTTGCTCTGTAGAGTCATCTAAGACATCTTCCGTTGCTTTCTGTAGTGTCATCTAAGACATCTCCGTTGCTCTGTTACGTCCCTGAGACATCTTCCGTTGCTCTGTAAGTCATCTAAGACATCTTCCGTTGCTCTGTTGCGTCACCTGAGACATCTTCCGTTGCTCTGTAGGAGTCATCTAAGACATCTTCCGTTGCTCTGTAGCGTCCCCTGAGACATCTCCCGTTGCTCTGTTACGTCCCCTGAGACATCTCCCGTTGTTCTATTACGTCCCCTAAGAGACATCTTCCGTTGCTCTGTAGAAGTCATCTAAGACATCTCTCCCATTCTCTGTTACGTCCCTGAGACATCTTCCGTTGCTCTGTAGAGTCATCTAAGACATCTTCCGTTGCTCTGTAGAGTCATCTAGACATCTCCGTTGCTCTATTACGTCTAAGAGACATCTTCCGTTGCTCTGCAAGTCCTTCTAGACATCTTCCGTTGCTCTGTACGTCCTAGAGACATCTCCCCGTTGTTCTGTTTATCCTGAGACATCTTCCGTTGCTCTGTAGCGTCATCTAAGACATCTTCCGTTGCTCTGTTACGTCACAAGAGACATCTCCGTTGTTCTATTGCGTCCCCTGAGACATCTTCCGTTGCTCTGTAGCGTCATCTAAGACATCTCCCGTTGCTCTGTTACGTCCCCTAGAACATCTCCGTTGTTCTGTTGCGTCCCTGAGACATCTTCCGTTGCTCTGTAGCGTCATCTAGACATCTCCCGTTGCTCTGTTACGTCCCCTGAGACATCTCCCGTTGTTCTGTTACGTCCCCTGGAACATCTTCCGTTGCTCTCTTAGCGTCATCTAAGACATCTCCCGTTGTTCTGTTGCGTCACCTAAGGCCTCCTCCTAAAAATGTCTATAGTCCTTTGTGGCCAATGTTGAGGACGCTTCCTGTATAGTCTTCTTGGTCGTAATATTTAATCTCAGGAAGCAGGAGGACATCCGTTAATCAGAATCTATGGAACTTCACCTGAAGACGTCTTGTTTATGCAATCAAACTTTAAGTCTCATCTAGAATAATGAAATGGTTGAGCCACCTCCACCCTTCTGTTCCAACACCCCCCCCTCCCCACCCCCTATCTTATTCCCCTCACCGCAGGCTCTGTTCCCCTTGTCTTATACCCCGCAGCCTCCTCTCCACTACTAGTTTATCGATCTTATTCCCCTCACCTGGGCTCTGTTCCTTGTCTTACCACCCCCATGACTCTCCTCTCCACTACTAGTTTATCGGACTATCTCTGTTCCTCTTCTCTCTGGGGATCTTGCAATACATCTGAACTATTTAGCTACAATCTGTTACGTTGGTATCATAGGGTTTGGTGTGTGTGTGTGTGTGTGTGTGTGTGTGTGTGTGTGTGTGTGTGTGTGTGTGTGTGTGTGTGTGTGTGTGTGTGTGTGTGTGTGTGTGTGTGAACTTTCCATCTTCCCTGTTTCTCAATAACAATATATATTCCCCTGTCACCACTTACCCATAAGGCTTCACTGGGGCCCGACAACCTGGTTTCTCACACACACACACACACACACACACACACACACACACACACACACACACACACACACACACACACACCGGTAAATTGTGTACATATAAAGACAAATTGTCAAATGTGTATTTCTGAGGGTAATGAACTTATCTAAAAAGCTAAATAAATAAATACAAAAAACAGAGAAAAGAAAGAACTAATATCGATAAAACAATGCAAATAATTAAACAAGATAGATCTATATATTCATCGACTGTTATTACGTCTCTTAGTTAAAAGGAATGAGAGAGAGAGAGTGTGTGTGTGTGTGTGTGTGTGTGTGTGTGTGTGTGTGTCAGTGAGAGCAAGGAGAGATGTGTTGGTACTATTTATGGCCTACATCCCCTTTTCCTCTCTATCTCCCTTCACCCTCTATTTTCCTCATCTCCCTCCATCTCCTCTCTTCCACGTTCATGCAAGCCTCCTCTCGATCCTTCATCCAATAATAACTCTTCTATTACTTCATTACATAAAATCTAGATTATTTACGGTTCCTCTAATCTGTCCCAGAGTAGCTTAAGTGTGTGTGTGTGTGTGTGTGTGTGTGTGTGTGTGTGTGTGTGTGTGTGTGTGTGTGTGTGTGTGTGTATGACCCGTGCACGTCCACCTGTCACCCTTACCCATCACCTGCCCCCCCCACACACTGGCCTACCCAACACATAACTTCACTTCTTGTTCATCTACTCTCTCTCTCTCTCTCTCTCTTCTAGTACAAGGTTACCAGACTGAGTGTGGGGCTCTGACTCCTTGCATTCAGCTGTCAGTGTGTTACTCCTCCCCCCTTGGCAGGCTGATCGTCCACCGTTGGGTCATCCCACCATCGACAAGTGTATCAGGCAATGTATTCACTTACTGCTGAGTGTACAAGCACAGGACCCAATCTAGATATAAAAGAGTTTCGGCGAATTTCTGAATCATTTACTTGGTAGTTTTTGTGTTTGTAGCCTCAGTAAGACAAGTTCATTTCTTCTTGTGCCGCAGGTTACTAATGTAGCTGTTGTAAAAAACTCAAAGAAAACAAATTCTAGGTCATTTACAACAGTTACGAGACTGTGTGGTGTGCCATCCTACGCGGGTCCTGGCAGTGTTGGTCACGGGCCAGCGATCAAAGGTGTCGTCTTAATAACTCAATAGCTGACTCCTGCTGCGTCAAGTTTGTATATAACCAGATTATCATGAAGCAATGCAGGTCAGTCTAGGTGTTGTCAAATGACGTTCAGTGCTCCGGGGTGACGGGTTGTGAGGAGAGAACACGGCAGGTTATGACTGACGGCGTTCAATATGTCCTTATGTGTTGACAGATCAGCGCCCACTGTGTATACCCGTGCGGATGTGGCACTGTGCCGGTGTGCCGCCCGGGAGTGCCAACGGTGCGGGACGGGTGTGGTTGCTGCTGGCAATGTGCAGGACAGGCTGGGGAGCTCTGCGACGGTGCCACCATCTGCGACGTCTCCAAGAACCTCACCTGCATCTACGACACTACCCAAGATCTTACTGGCACCTGCCAAGGTGAGTCTTAATGTGTAACTGTCCACCATCACCTTTCTCTCACCTGTCACGTTCATTTCTCACGTGATCTTGGTCATCAACACTTTACCACTACTACTCTATACAGTCCACAATATATCATCTCACATAGTGTTTACACCAACCATCTTTCACTCGCCACGTACTATTACACAGCTTAGACGACTACTGTACATACATTTCACACAGTACAGTTGTTACACAATAGCTATTATATCAAAAGCTTCCGTAGCATAAGCAACATATTCTGAAAGTCAGCAAGTTATAATGAAACCTCAAAGTTAACGCTGCTTCACCCTAACTTATTATGAATTGTGTATTGTAAGGAACTAAAACTCGAGACCGGTGCTTAATAACCTCCGCACCTGTAATAGAAAGCAGCAACAACAACAACAACCAATAACCTCCAGACCTCCCACACATTCCTTGTCGTCATCAACAGCACAATATCTCACATTTCTCATCCTTACATTTACAGTCAGTACAGTAAAACAGTTCATCATAATCTTCTCCGCCATTGTTGTCTTCTGTGTTTCTGCTAACTTGTTCACAACTTATCCCCGCCTTCTGTTTATCGTCTGCTGGAGTTACCGAAGCACATCCTGCCCCCGTCCCGACCCAACTTTCTTTACTCCTTCTGTCTGTCTGTCTGTCTGTCTGTCTGTCTTATCTGGAGATTATCCTCGGTACGTCCTCCAATCACGACCCTCCTTAGCTCGTCTTACACTCAAATACTTCCCTCCTTGCCTCGTCCTCCACTCAAAGATTTCCTCCTTGCCTCGTCCTCCACTCAAAGATTTCCTCCTTGCCTCGTCCTCCACTCAAAGATTTCCTCCTTGCCTCGTCCTCCAATCACGACCCTCCTTGCCTCGTCCTCCACTCAAAGATTTCCTCCTTGACTCGTTCTCCAACCCATGACTTCCTTCACTCTCTCTCCTTCACTTTTCCTCCTACCATTGTGCTCATTGTTTTTCTCCTCTTAAAAATTTCACTCATTTTTCCCGTACATTTCACCTTCTTTCATGAACGTCTCTTGTCTGCTTCTCAATGGTACTCGAAATGCGTCTTCTCTGCAAGTATATCCAGGCGGTGTTTCTTGCCTCTTGCTTGTGTTACTGATTAGTTTTACTCTTTTTTTTATTCCCCTCGGAAGATGGGATGTTTTTTTTTGTGACGGTGTATATAGATTTCTATCTATTATTATTATTAGTCTGTTGGTCAAAATCTATTTTAACCTAATCAAAACGAAACCAACCTATCCTATCCTATCCTATCCTATCCTATCCTAACCTGACCCAACCAAACCTAACTTAACCAAACCTAACCTGACCCAACCTAACCTAAGCCAACCTAACCTAACCACACCAAATATTGATAACATTCACCACGAAGGAACTAGCCAAATGTTTTTATTTACTATAATTCAATATCATACACTTGAAAAAATCATATACATTTAACGAACATAAATTATATAAATCTTGTGAATATTTTAGTATGATATATATACTTATTTTTTCTATTTCATCATTTTACAACCATATTTTTTCCTCAGCACCGAATCTCATAATGCAAGACTATCCATTTTCATTTCTTCCCATTTAACGACTCCTGCAATTCCCATCTTGATAAAAAACGAGAGAGACCCAAGCTGAGTAATTAGCCAATTGGTGGAGACAAAGTTGGTCCATTATCTCCAAGCCGATAGGTCAAAGGTAACAATGTGGGTCGTCCGCTTCCAGTGTAATAGTCCTAATGTGTTCACGTGTATCCTAATGTGTCCTGACTACCTCCTCTTCAGACACATGATACCGTAGACTCTCCTGTTGAACGACATGACCAGGCTTTGATGTAGTGTGTTGTTATATTACTGTGTTGAAGTATGTTTCTCAAGTCTCACTCTCAAGTTATGACTTAATATCGCTCCTCCTTGTGCTGTGGGTTCTCTAGTGCTTTGACAGGACCAAAACTTATATATCCTTGACATGACTACACCGACCACCTCTTGTCATGTGTTTCAATATAGTAATGTCACTGGCCCCTCCTGTGGTTTAATATGACACATGGCCCCTCTTGTGTTTTAATATGACATAATGACTGTGTTTTGACATGACATCACTATCTCTTCAGTTATAAATGACTATAGGGTTTCCTCTGATATCTAACATGACAACATCGTCCTTACTGAGGTGCAGCACAACTAGCCCCGTGTGTTGTACTGTGTTAACAAGGTGTGTTGGTCCCCCACAGAGGTACATCCAGCCAAGTGTACCGTCAACAACCGCACCTACGACGACGGTGAGAACTTTACCCTGGACTGTCGCACCCAGTGTACCTGTCAGGTGAGTCCTCCCCTTGTTGTGTCTGTCTGTATCACCCAGTGTATTTGTAAGGTGGTTCCTAACCTCTTGTGTGTGTGTGTGTGTGTGTGTGTGTGTGTGTGTGTGTGTGTGTGTGTGTGTGTGTGTGTGTGTGTGTGTGTGACCCAGTATAACTCTTAGTATCACTTTATCTTTTTATCAGTAACCACCTCTCTCTCTCTCTCTCTCTCTATCTCTCCCACCGCCAGAACGGGACGTACGCGTGTGTGTCGTTGTGTCCCAGTGAGAACATCCCGCCCAGTGCCCAGTGCCATCACCCTCACCTGGTCACGGTGCCTGGCCAGTGTTGCAGGGAGTGGATGTGTGACACAGCTCCAGGTCAGTGCCACTCTACCAGGTTTCAAGATTAGTGCCAGGGTGTCAGGTCAGTCCTACTTCATCAGACCACAGTAGTTTCTCAGGTCAGTGCCAAAAGACAGATTAAGTTCAAGTAACGCCAGGGTACCAATTGGATTCCATCGTAACATGTCCAAGACACCAGGGCAGTATAGTGCCTCTCCAGGTTTCTGATGTTGATAATGACTTGAAAATTGTGAAAAACAAATATAATCCTAAACGGGAAGTCGAATCCCCTCCAAAAGGCATCGGATACCTCTCTCCTCTTGTTTATGGTGGATGATTTTCTTGAGACGCCATAAAAACCGCGAATTGGAAATATTAATTACTATTTAAATATCTGTAGGAAAAGCGTCGAGGTAAAATGATCGTGTGGCAGTTTCGTCAGGCACCAGCAGGAGGAGGAGGAGGAGAGTTGGCACTGATGGCACTGAACTAGGAACACAGGTCCGCGTTCCTACAGCCACAAAGTCGCCTGTCTCGCGCTAATTCTTATATTTAAAGACTTTATCGACACAAAGTTGGGCCACAAACCACTTCAGGAGTGCCACTTTCTGAAGAACTCTTGGCCCAAAGTTTGTTGCTGGCACTGAGGCAGACATGAACTGACGGCGACAGCGGCATACTGATGTGCGGCGCTGACGGAGACCAACACGGCCACGGAGATAGTGAAACATACACACGGTCACGGAGATGGTGACACATACACACGGCCACGGAGATAGTGAAACATACACACGGCCAGGGAGATAGTGAAACATACACACGGCCAGGGAGATAGTGAAACATACACACGGCCAGGGATATAGTGAAACATACACACGGCCAGGGAGATACAGTGACACGTACACACGGACAGGGAGATAGTGACACATACACACTACCAAGAAGCTACACGGTGACACATACACACTCTCAGGAAAATACACACACACACACACACACACACACACACACACACACACACACACACACACACACACACACACACACACACACACACACTACCAGGGAGATATGCGGTAAATAACTCGGAAACTGCCACTAAAAAAGAAAAGAAAAAATAATTAATGGAAAATTTCAAGAAAGTTATATATTTATCGAGAAAGACGTAGTGTGTGTGTGTGTGTGTGTGTGTCTACTTGACCTCGACAAGTTCTTATGGTCAAGTTGGCGAGAAATTCGAGTAATTGGCCAACTTATCCAACAACTCCTCGGCCAAGAGATGATCCCAAACACACAAGTTTTGATTCATCCAAATCTCTCAGGGTCACTCGCGTTTTGATTTCGTCAATTCATTCGTGCAGGACCCAAGTGGTGAGTGTTCCAGTTTTGTTTATTTCATTGTTCACATTTGTTCGGTTGTTCAAAAAGGATTTACTGGTTTGTTCCATTTTTTTCAGGGCCTTTGGGTTCTAATTTGTCCAATTTTCCAGCTTACAGGAGGCCCCAGATTTGACCTGTTTCAGCCGTTTTCACAAATTCAGGCTACATTGGTTTCAGTTTTTATTGCTTTGTTTTTTATCAGTTTTTTAATTCATCAAGTTACCTGTGTTAATCTACCTGGCTCATAGACCAAAAACATACCCGAACACCTATATTTACTCAATCGTTCAGGGTTAACCAAAGCTGTAGTGGGTTTACGAGATAGTTATGATATACTACGTTACTTAAAGATCAAAAATGAGGTCTGACTCACCCACTGTAACTCTCATACCTGATTCTAATTTGTTGATGAATTTAGTGTAATTACTAATCTCGTTACGTGGTTAAAGACCTTTGTAGTTAAAGTGTAGAGATAACAATAAAACGATAGCACCAGTTAACCTCACTGTAACTACAGTAGAATACCTAAGACTAATGATCTATTTTCACACCTGACTCTAGTTTTAATTGGTTCAGGTGAGGACATGAACACCTCATCAAACCTTCAGGCCCTCAGTGATATTGTTAGTCGTAAGCCTTGATTCTCCCAGTGGTAGGTAAAGGGATGGTGAACTGATATTGATCCATAGCTTCAGTATCTTACCCTGTTGCAGTCAGTCTCTCGTTAACCCCTTGTGTACGGGAGTATCTCTGTGGCGTCCCTGTAGTGAAGATGTTTTGAGTCCAGTGTCGTCTACCACATGTACGTGCTAGTAACCCACTTGAGTTACGCCCTCCTCACCAAACTCCAGCGTCTTGTTGTTATAACCTGAGTATCCTGGAGGGAGACTCACTGTACCCAAAACTTTCAACACCAGCAACGAGTTTCAACATAAATTCATGAAAAAAATTATATATCTTCAAAAAGTTTATATTTTAGTTTATCAATAGAATTTAGAATTTGCTTTAATGTGAGATACAAACACCTATGGATGACACACACTCTCTCTCTCTCTCTCTCTCTCTCTCTCTCTCTCTCTCTCTCTCTCTCTCTCTCTCTCTCTCTCTCTCTCTCTCTTAGCTTACACGCTTTGCTCTCAATTAAACTCTTATATTTAACTGTCCCTTTAACTCTCACTCTTTAACACTCACTACAACTCTCACTCTTAACTCTCCCTCTTTAACTCTCACTCTTTAACACTCACTACAACTCTCACTCTTAACTCTCACTCTTAAATCTCCCTCTTTAACTCTCACTCTTTAACACTCACTACAACTCTCACTCTTAACTCTCCCTCTTTAACTCTCACTCTTTAACACTCACTACAACTCTCACTCTTAACTCTCACTCTTAACTCTCACTCTTAACTCTCACTCTTTAACACTCACTACAACTCTCACTCTTAACTCTCACTCTTAACTCTCACTCTTTAACACTCACTACAACTCTCACTCTTAACTCTCACTCTTAACTCTCACTCTTTAACACTCACTACAACTCTCACTCTTAACTCTCACTCTTAACTCTCCCTCTTCAACTCTCACTCTATCTTAGCTCAAGCGTCTTCCTTCGGCGTATAAGGAGGCGGGTTGCCACGTCTCTCCCTCAGGACCAGGCCTCATTAAACTCATTATGAGGACAACGGGGCTTAATATCCTCATCTCATACATAAATTTACGACACATTGGCCCAGGGAGAGGTGTACTGCAGATGGCCTCCCTCGTCCTGGGACTCTTAACATATCCCATATTAACCTAACCTAACCTAACCTAACCTATTCTAACCTAACCTATTCTAACCCAATCTAACCTAACCTAACCTAACCTAACCTAACCTAACCTAACCTAACCCCCTAATGTAACCTAACCTAACCTAACCTAACCTATTCTAACCTAACCTATTCTAACCCAATCTAACCTAACCTAACCTAACCTAACCTAACCTAACCTAACCTAACCTACCGATCTAAGGCGACAAACTGGCAAAATTCATTCCTAATATTGTTTATTTGTTCGTTGTTTATTGTGTGATGTTTGTGTGTTTGTGTAGGTGCGGTGGGTGGGTGATGACGGTGGTGGTGCTGTGGTAGTAGAATAACATTGGTTAGTGCCGTGGTAGTAGAATAACATTGATTAGTGCCGTGGTAGTAGAATAACATTGATTAGTGCCGTGGTAGTAGAATAACATTGATTAGTGCCGTGGTAGTAGAATAACATTGGTTAGTGCCGTGGTAGTAGAATAACATTGATTAGTGCCGTGGTAGTAGAATAACATTGATTAGTGCCGTGGTAGTAGAATAACATTGGTAAGTGCCGTGGTTGTAGAATAACATTGATTAGTGCCGTGGTAGTAGAATAACATTGGTAAGTGCCGTGGTAGTAGAATAACATTGGTAAGTGCCGTGGTAGTAGAATAACATTGGTTAGTGCAGTGGTAGTAGAATAACATTGGTAAGTGCTGTGGTAGTAGAATAACATTGGTAAGTGCCGTGGTAGTAGAATAACATTGGTAAGTGCCGTGGTAGTAGAATAACATTGGTTAGTGCAGTGGTAGTACATTAACAATGGATTGGTACTATGGCAGGGTAACACTGTGATGGCGCAGTGATAAAGTTAATGGCACAATGACCGACTAAGCCAGGTTTATGGTGTAATGGCGTCGTAAAACAAGAGGCGAGTGTTGCAGTGAGGATAAACAGACCCGGAGTGATGTATACTGTACTGCTGTCAACAGGAGCAGAGGAGTTTTGGATAAGTGGTCGTGAACGTAACTAGGGGGAGGGGGAGGGGGAGGCGGAGGGGGAGGTTAGTGAACTGAGTACCTACCACATTGTACCATCTTAGACAGACAGACAGACAGACAGACAGACAGACAGACAGACAGACACCCCTCCCTCCCACATCTGCAACCCACACACAAACACACTCCCCACCTACCCACCCACACTCCCTCCCACCCCCACACACTCCCTCCCACGCCCACACTTACACGTCAATACCTCACACCCACCCAACCACCGGGATATTTATGGTTAGCGATATCTACAGGCCAATAAAACCCCGCCTTCCCATTTATAACATTATTCCAGAACTGATTGTCAGGTTCGCTCACTTAAGGCGACTGTTATGCTCTGATTAATGTTGATGAGGAACAGGTGAGAGTTATAATTAGGGGAGGGAACAGGTGAGAGAACAGGTGAGTTATTATTAGGGAGAGAACAGGTGAGAGATATAATTAGGTGAGAGAACAGGTGAGTTATTATTAGGGAGAGAACAGGTGAGAGATATAATTAGGGGAGAGAACAGGTGAGAGAACAGGTGAGTTATTATTAGGGAGAGAACAGGTGAGAGATATAGTGAGACAAAAGGTAACTTATAACAGAGGGAGAGAGAACACAGAATAAATACAAATAATGTGAAAATACTCAGAAAACACGACACAAAAAAAAGAATAAAACGAGAAGAAAAACAAACCAGAATAATTATCACACAAGGAGTCACAACCCAATACAATAATACACCAAGAATGCTTTTAAGCCCCATAAAGGTGTGAAACATAATGGCAGGCGATGAGGTGGCGAAACACTCTATCGGTAACACGGAATTTCACTTAACTCTTTCAATGCCTCGAACAATAACATCTCCCAATAGCCGGATGTCTATTCTTACGTGTTTCTATATGAGGTAATATATAACTCATTTACAACTATACGGATTACCTGAAGATTAAAGACCCCCCCCCCCAGTTTATTTTGTCTGAAGATTAAAGACCCCATAATTTATCTCACCTGCAGATTAAAGACCCACCAGTTTATTCCACATGAAGATTAAAGACCCCCAGTTTATTTTGTCTGAAGATTAAAGACCCCTCCAGTTTATTTCACCTGAAGCTTAAAGACCCCCCAGTTTATTTTGCCTGAAGACTAAAGACCCCATAATTTATCTCACCTGTAGATTAAAGACCCACCAGTTCATTTCACCTGATGATTAAAGACCCACCAGTTTATTTCACCTGAAGATTAAAGACCCACCAGTTTATTTCACCTGACGATTAAAGACCCTCCAGTTTATTTCACATGAAGATTAAAGACCCCCCAGTTTATTTCACGCAGAAGATTAAAGACCCCAGTTTATTTCCCGAACCTAACTCGCCCTACTCAAATCTAACCTAACATAATGTAACCTCGACTACCTTAATTTAACCCAACCTAATTTAACCTAGCCTATTCTAACCTAGCCTACCCTTATCTAACCTAACCTAACCTAACGTAACCTAACCTAACCTAACCTAACCTAACCCAACTAACCTAACCCTCCTCAGTTACCGTCAAGTTGATTAACCTTCAGATGGAGTAAACCAGAATGTTTAATCTTCAGGTAATGAATAAATCCCTTTTGATTCAAGTCTTAATTACCAAAGATTTGAACACAAAAGGTAACTCAAAATTCTCTATTAACTTTGGATACTGAAGAAAAAAACGTAATTTAGCTCCGATAGTATAACTTAACACTTTGAAAACGATGATTTAACCCTTTGAGAAAGATGATTTAACCCTTTGAGAAAGATGATTTAACCCTTTGAGGACGATGATTTAGCCATTTGAGGAAGATGTTTTAACTCTTTGAGGACGATAATTTTACTCTCCAGGACTCAAAGGGTTAATATCGACTTAAGGGTTGTCAACTTTACCGTGAGTCTACCTGAGCCTTAAGACGTTACCTGTATTTCTCAAGCCATCCAGGTAAGGTCGTCTGCACCTTTAGATACTGTTGGAAAATATCTGCAATGTCTGAACGTAATTTTGTCAGAATCCACGCGTTTAAGGGCATGGTGTGCTATGACTGCTTTATGCCTTCCATATCTTCAGCTGACTTGCCAATCTACCCGACGTGACCATATATCGATTCTAACCAAAACCTAACCTAACCTAACCTAACATAGCCTAATTTAGTCTACCCTGACTTAATCTAACCTAACGTAACATAACCTAACTTAATCTAACCTAACCTGACCTAATCTAATTCACCCTAATCTAACTTAAAATGAGCAAATACCTAACCTGACCTAAGGATTGAAAGATGGGTCATTCAGCGCATGTCACAGAGTGCAAATACCAATTAGCTCACGTCATGCCCGCATAAGCGTGGATTTTCCTCGGTCAACATCGGTCTAAAAACACAGGTGAGTCATTACCGGAACTAATTACCTATGTCTCCGTCAGAAAAGTGTTTATCGTCTAAGATGCTTCAACATATGTCATTGTGATGAGTGTGTGTGTGTGTGTGTGTGTGTGTGTGTGTGTGTGTGTGTGTGTGTGTGTGTGTGTGTGTGTGTGTGTGTGTGTGTGTGTGTGTGTGTGTGTGTGTGTGTGACCGAAAAATTAAATAGAGAGACAGACAGACACACAGACAAGGAAGAAAAAAGAGAGAGAGAGAGAAATCCCCAAACATAAGAGCCAGCCAATACTATTATCCAGTATAATTCATGTTGTTTACCACTTTTTTCCCCAAGAATATGAAGATAAATTCCTTGTAAAAGCTCCGGCCTGGCTGATAAATGAGGGTATTCTTTATATTAATGGTATCTCTCTCTCATGCTATCTCTGTCTCGTTTTTCTCTATCTATCTATCTATTTATCTATCTATCTATTTATCTATCTATCTATCTATTTATCTATCTATCTATCTATCTATCTATTTATCTATTTATCTGTCTATCTATCCATTTATCTATCTATCTAATTATCTATCTATCTATCTATCTATCTATCTATCTATCTATCCATCCTTTTCATCAGTCTCTTTCCATGCATTTCATTCTTCTCTCTCTCTCTCATTATCACTACTGGTAATGGTATGTTGTCAGCTGTACAGTGTAGAGACAAAACCCTCCCATTGTTGTGGACGACTGGTGAAAACTGTCATGAGGACGTTGGTGACAGGTGTCTCCCGGGCGTTAATGGGACTCCCTGGACTGTGGTGACAGTGTCTCCCCAGGTAAGATGGTGGTTTCGGACTGTGAGTGACGAATGTCTCCCAGGTAAGGTGAGTGGGACTCCTGGACTGTGGTGTGGAGTGCTCCCAGGCTGGAGTGGTGGGACTCCTGGACTGTGGTGGTGAGTGTCTCCCCAGGTAAGGTGGTGGGACACCTGGACTGTGGTGATGAGTGTCTCCCCAGGTAAGGTGGAAGGACTCCTGGACTGTGGTGACGGAGTGTCTCCCCAGGTAAGGTGGAAGGACTCCTGAACTGTGAGTGACAGTGTCTCCCCAGGTAAGGTAGAGTGGGACTCATGGGACTGTAGGTGAGCAGGTGTCTCCCCCAGGTAAGGTGGAGGGACTCCTGGACTGTGAGTGACAGAGTGTCTCCCCCAGGTAAGGTGGAAGGACTCCTGGACTGTGAGTGACGGAGTGTCTCCCCCAGGTAAGGTGGAAGGACTCCTGGACTGTGAGTGACGGAGTGTCTCCCCCAGGTAAGGTGGAAGGACTCCTTGACTGTGAGTGACGGAGTGTCTCCCCCAGGTAAGGTGGTGGGACTCCTGGACTGTGAGTGACGGAGTGTCTCCCCCAGGTAAGGTGGTGGGACTCCTTGACTGTGAGTGACGGAGTGTCTCCCCCAGGTAAGGTGGTGGGACCCCCGGACTGCGAGAGAGTCTCCGGCAGATGGTCGCGGTGTTCGCTACAGAAGTGCGGCGCTGGCGTGTCTCTGCGCTGGTCAACGGACAACGCTCGCTGTCAGCTCGTCAACCAGACTCGTCTATGTCAGCTACGCCCGTGTCAGGACCGACGTCAACAGCAGCTGACCTCGCCTTACCTCCAACCCGGCGCTCACCCCCCCACCAGGAAACACCACATCAGGGTCAGTAATAAACAAGTGCTGTAGAATCATGTTACATATTTAACTAACTCTTTATTGTGTTTATAATTCTCATTTTTTCTCTATTTACAGCAATCAAGATTTTTTTACTTTACGTTCATAAAAAATTTCTTCTACATACATAACGTTCACTACTGTAGATCTTGTGTACATGACGTTCATTATAACCTCGCTTTTAATTTCATCTCGTTACGTTTTCTGATTTTCGCTACGTGTTCTAAGTTCCTCATTCTCTAGTTCTTTATTTTTCATCGGCTGAATCGTGTGTTTTTCCCTTCTTGTGTATCTTCCTTTATTTTATCTCCTCCTGTTAACCTTTCTTTCTTTCTTTCTTCGGGTCTGTTTATCATGTGTTTTAATCTCTCTCTCTCTCTCTCTCTCTCTCTGTCTGTCTGTCTGCCTGTCTCTCTCTCTCTCTCTCTCTCTGTCTATGTAACCCTGTATCCTCCTTTTCTCTCAATCCATGTATCTCTCTCTTGGTGTCTCTCAGGCCTATGTGTTCTCTCTTCTAGTGTCTCTCAGCGGCTGCATCCTTCCCTCAAGCACTTATCCTTCTAACTTCTTTGCCTCCTAGCCTCCTCCTCCTCCTCTCCACCTGTTCTCCACCTTCCTCCCCCTCATCTACCCTCCCCATCCCCCCCTCCTCCTACTTGCCCTCCCCCCTCGCCCTTACACTGCATCCCTCAGCGGCCATATCCCTCAAGTTACATTACCGTCACTTATTTTCGTCAGAGACCTCACCCGGTGTCACCCCCTCGACACTTCCATTACAGTGAATCTGCCGCCCCAGTGTGTTTATGGTGTCGTACGTTGTCTGCTATCTGAGCCACCAACACTCTCCTATAAAGTATACCACCGCCACACACACACACACACACACACACACACACACACACACTGTTTTAATGTCCAAATAACCCTGGAAGCTGTTTTAATACCCACATCTCCCAGACATTCCTTAACTACCAAAAACATTTCCCCAACATTCACCTGTATTGTACTTTTCTCATCTTCACCCTTAATTAGGTTCATATTTACCCACCCACACCTGTTATGATATGCCTCGTTGGTTTTGTTTCTCCACATACATACATACATACATACAGTCATACATACATACATACATACATATAATCACATACACAAATGTATACAGGCATACATATATACAGACACACACATTCTCTCTCTCTCTCTCTCTCTCTCTCTCTCTCTCTCTCTCTCTCTCTTTAATAAGCCTGATATGTTAATGATTCTATCTAATTTTCATTTTTTCATCTCTCTTCCCCTTCTTAATTACTCTTATGTCTCTTCATAATCCATTTAATATCATACTTATCATACACTAATACATCACACTTATACATTAATATATCATACTTATCATACACTAATACACCACACTTATACATTAATACATCACTTATACAATAATACATCACACTTATACATTAACCCTTTCACAGCGGGAGGTTACCCTAAGCTGAATAAAATCGCCTGGAGGTAGCCAGAAGAACCTGTCAAGTGCGAGAAAAGTGGTTAAAGGGTTAATACATCATACTTATACATTAATACATCATACTTATACATTAATACATCACACTTATACATTAATACATCATACTTATACATTACTACATCACTTATACATTAATACATCATACTTATACATTAATACATCACACTTATACACTTAATACATCACACTTATACATTAATACATCACTTATACATTAATATATCACACTTATATAATTAATACATCACTTATACATTAATACATCATACTTATACATTAATACATCATACTTATACATTAATACATCATACTTATACATTAATACATCATACTTATCATGCACTAATATATCACACTTATTATACGTTAATTGATCACATCTTTTGTACTTGTTGTTGTCATTGTCATCATCACCGTCGCTGTCTTTGTTAGCGTGTGACTGTTATAACTACACTATAAGTGGTTATTTTAAAGACCACTACAAGCAATAATTAACAACCTATATAGTTCTGGTTCATTCCATCAACTTTACGCTGATGGTAAAGGGTATAGGTTGGTATGTTATTAAGGGAGCCACTGCAGGTGATAAAATATACGAAGGTGTTTTTGTCTCTCGTAAGGCCCCACAATCCTGGCAGAGCTCAACAAATATGAAACCAAGGCAGCCAAGTCAAGATTAATTGAGTAGTATTTCTTTTGTCTCTGTTTATTTCTGTTGTTATGTTTAACTTTTCTTTTTAACCACCAAGTGCCCTGACCACCGCCTTACACATGGCTGTTTGGTGTCATATATCACTGACTTTGTTGTGTACTTTACAGCGCGGCCACACCTGCAAGGCGACGCAGAGGCACGTCAAGCCGGTGCGTCTGCGTGCTGGCTGGTGCGTCAGTGAGCGACGCTACAGACCCAAGCTGTGCGGCGCCTGCACGGACCGCTGCTGCACCGTCCACACCTCCACCACCATCTCCATCGCCTTCCTGTGTCCACTCCACGCCAACACCAACCTCCTGGCTGCCCCCGACGCCGGCAACCCACAACCACCACGCCCGCGACCACACGCCTACCAGCCCACCACACACGCCCCCAGCGTGTACGACATGATGGATGAAGGACAACCAGTGCTGGAGGCCGTGCTGACTTACCCTCAACGACAACACCGCGCCCACACGCCCTCCCACAACCCCAACCTTGCCTACGACGACAACTTGCTCGACAACAGCCTCCAGTACGACGAAGACGACCTCGACGACCAACTACCATTTGAACACGAGAACTTGACGGTGGAGGACGACGTCGAGTACGACGACATTAAGAGCGACAACTACGAGATAGTTCACTACCAGGTGGAGTGGATCATGAGGTGTAAGTGTAACCCCACCTGTGACACCTACGACCCCGCCCACCTCTCCCCGCCGCCGCCCTCAGCCACACACACCCCCACGTAACAACAAGGTGTGGTGGAGCCCTGGTCGACGACACCAGTGTGTGGGAGCGAGACAGTATCTTGTGCCTGATGTGGTTTATCACCTGTATCTCTCAGGTGTATTCCACTCACGACTGCTTAGTTAAACCAATACATGTGAAGAGTGATCAGTATATTGTACATATATATTGTGCGAGAGTGTGTTTGGAAGCGTTATTTTTTTGGTTATAGTGTGTGTGTATGCGTGTATACTGTCAAGAACTGCGTCATTTAAAGAATATATTTAGACATATAGAGAGAGAGAGATGATACCTGTGCGTCACCCATGAGTCACCAAGTGCAATTGTTGTGATGTAAACACTCACCTGAAGCTTTCCTCTGTATGGCGGCCGCTCATTGGCCACAAGAAGAATTATGAAACATGTTGTGCTAAGGTATGTCAATATAATATGTATCTAATAATGCTAAATAATATTACACTTTATATTTTGTATTCATAATAGTGTGATAGTAAAAAATATGGAGTGTTGGACGAAATAGAACAATCAGTTAATGTGATCTATGACAACTGGGTGTGAACAGGAGGAGGAGGAGGAGGAGGAGGAGGAGGAGGAGGAGGAGGAGGAGGAGGAGGAAGGTGAAGGAGGAGGAGGAGGAGGAGGAGGAGGAGGAGGAGGAGGAAGGAGGAGGAGGAGGAGGAAGGAGGAGGGGGAGGAGAAATGAACATAAAAACCTTCAGACTTAAACTATATTAATCACCTGAGGTTCGATAATAATAATATAAAACAAATTAGGTTTCTTTCAGTGAGGCCCAAGAGGCAGCACTGCACCAGGACCAAGTGTCAGAGGTGAGGAGCGCCACACACGTGAATACCAACACAAGTAGACTCGAAAAATACACAGAGACTGAAGGGACCAACCGCCAGCAGCGTACAGTGGCAGTCAGTCTTGGGAGGGAGAACGTGATAAGAGCACCAGGAAGCAGGAAGCTGACAGCACGTTGTTCTGGTGCGTCTTGGTGAGCAACTCGACTCCTCCCTCGCTAACAAGTCTTGGGTGTTAAAAATATATCGAGTTTGGTTAAAAATTGGTTAATATCCAACTAAAAATTAATTTTCCGTTAAAATTAAATATAGTTCAATTGATCTAAACGCCATTAGTATCATTATTATTTATACCACGTCATAATAAAGATGAATCGTAGCTGGTAAATAGAAAAACTTGTAAACCAATAACGAATTCACACTCTCAAGGTGGATGGATGGATAGTTCCCAACACCAATATCATCATTATCAACAACAACAGAACAGCATCCAGTCTCTAGTACCGCCACTTCTGCTGAGACGTACAAACACTCCTTCTCCCTGACCTCGTTGAAATATTCTCACCGGGAGTCAAGAGCACAGTGATGCATTAGGCGAGCATCATCAACACCTGAGAGGGGCATGATGGGAGTGTTGACACGCAGGACGGAGGAAGGCACTCCATGTCACCCCGGATGCCTGTGAGTTTTTCGTTGGCTCTTCTCACTAGTTGTAAATGAGGGTGTCAAGTGCTTATTGCCCCGCTGCATAATGGAGGTGTCTGTTGCGGAGTTTGCAGCCGGTGTGAGAGGAGTGAAGTGTTGTGTTACATACCGACAGGACTCCCATCTTATTAGGTCTCTCTTGTACACTGACCCCCTTCCCCATCAATATGTACACTGATCCTCACCCCTCTATCAATATGTACACTGATCCCCTCCCCTCTCCCCATCGGCATGTACACCGACTTCCTCGTCACCCCGTCAACACTGAACCTCCCATCACCCCATCAACACTAAGCTACAGTACACCACTTCCCATCTCCTTCACCTGAATATCCTCACCTAACCAAATCTAACCAAATGAATTTATCGTCGAAATAACAATAAACCTGAGATATTCGTCAAAACTTCACGTCAAGACCAAAATATAGACAAATCTCATCAAAATTCCTCTTTACACTGACCGGATCTCTAATGCATCCAAGACCAGACAATGTAAACAAAAATATCTACCAAAACTGAAATAAGTAGAAAGTGTTTAGAAGCTTCCCTATACCTTTACCTGCTGCTGCTGTTGCTTCTATATATTTCATGCTAAACCAAACCCTAAAAAAATATATAAATTCCTCTGTTTTTTATGATCTAATTTCTCTTTCACAATTACGTTCAGAAAGTTATAGGAATCAAAAAACAGGATATAGAAATGTTGTTTATATTTTGATATGTAACATGATGTACTATTATAGGTGTATAACCTGTGAGTAATTTTAGACATTGTAAAAGTTCCATAAACATTGGCGTTAGTTATTGTATGTGAATATAAACATTGGCACTATTGAATGTATATAGTTAAAAAAAAGGCATTGAGAAATATACATTGGCACTACTGAATTGATATCAAGTTAAATATCGGCACTAAGAAATACACATAAACATTAATACTACGAAATGTATATAAAATAAACATTGGAAACTGATGTATATAATGAAAGAGGTATATCATTCTTCACTACCACCACCAGAGACACTATGGACTACACAGTGTTGATATAATGTAACACACGTCACCTCACAGCCATAGAGACGCAACACCTATCGATGTCTAATTCATAATGGGAGTTTGTAGGTAATAAAAATGACTGGATTGATGAGGACTTTTATAATCTACCACTTAATGTTGTAACCCAAGTTCTCGAGTGATGTTTGTTTGTTTGTTTGTTTGTTTGAGACTGGCCAGATAGCAGGTATATTCATTACTAAACACCTGAAAACACAAACTGCATTCCTCACACCTGAAATTCTGGACACACACACACACATACACACATTAGCTAAAATAGTCGTACATTATCACTTAGGGCTTCCATGTGAGCTGGGATGGTCTCGTGGGTGTGTGGTGAGGACTGGGTGAGCCTGGAGGAGGGTGGGAGGTCCTGATGGAGTCGTCTCTTGTTGCTTAAGGGATTTACAACTTGAGAGCGTGTGAGTGGGGGAAGAAATGAGGAGTGAGAGGGGGGAGCGTCTGGGTGAGAGGGAGGGAGAAAACGTCTGAGGAATGATATCTATATGTGTGTGTGTGTGTGTGTGTGTGTGTGTGTGTGTGTGTGTGTGTGTGTGTGTGTATCCTCTAAGAACCCGCAAGATGTAAACACACAGAGAAGAGTTGTCCTCCTCCTCCTCCTCCCTCAGGCTATCTTAAAAGGTGTACTTGGCTTTATTTTACCTCCCAAGCGGCCTCAATGCGGGAAGAACACAGGCCCGCTACTTACCTGGTTACCTTGCCGGAGGTAGACACAGCTTGCCCCCCCACCTCTTCTTCCCTAATACAAAATCTTAGGTAGTGTATAAACAAAAGTCGCTCAGGGATAGATGTTGGTAGTGTTGCTGTTGGTTGGGGAAGTGCGTGGAGGGGGCACATGGTGGAGGGGGGGAGGTATGGTGGAGAGGCGGGTGATTGAGGGGAGAAAGGGCGCGAAAGGGTGATGGAGAGGGGGGGTAGGTGACGAGAAAGGTGGAAAATAGAACAAGACACCACCGCTCCCTTTCTCCCCGAGGTCAAATTGAGGTCAGTTTTTCTCCCTCCAGGCACCGACTTTTAGGACACCACTTGGCTCCTATATAAGCAAGGACCCCCCGTAACCCGAGTCATTATTGTGGCCAGGCAGTAGGCCACGATCCCTTCCCCCGCCAAGAATAATTCCATGTACTATGTTTTTTTTTCCCAAAGACGTCTTTAATACAAACGAGGAGGGGGAGGGGGGTAGGGGACGGAGTAATGTGTGCATAGAAGGGAAATTGGGGGGCCCTCTTCTCCTCCTCCATTCCTTCCTTCCTTCCTTCCTTCCGCTCCTCCTCCTCCCTACCACATCCTTCCCTCAACCCTCCCAACACATTTTTTGGGGGAGGGAAGAACTCTTACTTTTTTTTCCTCTTGTCGATTTTTCCTCTTATGACAGAGCGAAAAAGAAAGAGGAGGAGGAAGACGGTGGAAGAAGAAGGAGGAGGAGGAGGAGGAAGAATCAACATCATCAACAGCGGAGGACCAACACCCTTATTCTTCCCACTCATAAGGTTCAAGTTCGCGACAAGTTCTTTTTTTTTTACCATAAAAGACTTGAGCATACGTATTTTTTTTTCTTCTTATTTTTATTCACCATAACTCAGGTAGAGAATATAAAAGTGCTTTGAGTAGTGAATAATTACCCATGTGCTGGTGAGTAATGGGGGGGGAGGGAGGGTGGTGAGTAGATAGGGGGGGAGAGGGAAGGAGAGAGAGGAGGTAAAGAGAGAGAAAGAAGTGGAGAGGGTTATAAAGTTCAGGATGTACACGGAAACTACTAGAAGGGGGTGACACACACACACACACACACACACACACACACACACACACACACACACACACACACACACACACACACACACACACAGTAATCTAACACGGACTAATTACTCTTCCCTTATACCTTCCTCTCCAAAATAACAAGAGCAAATAACAGACTTAATAAAACGACGATAAAATTGTCCGCACTCAATGATTAATCACTAATTGGAAGGAAGATTTTTGATTATTATTATTATCCTCAGGACCAAATTAAGCCAGGAATTATTAATCAGGAATCAGTGGAGAAGTTGATTTGTTTGTTGGTCAGTTAAGTGTGTGGTGATGAGGCTGGGAGTGACACGATTATCAACAACAGTGATGATGATGACGATAATAATAATAATAATAATAATAATAATAATAATAATAATAATAATAATAATAACAAAAATAATAATAATAATAATAATAATAATAATAATAATAATAATAATAATAATAATAATGAAAATAACAAAATATATAAGAAATAATAAAAATAAAAATAATAATATTCTAATAACGACAGTGGAAAAATTAAAATAAAAACATAATAAAAAATAATCAGTTATCAGTTATCTTGTTTTCCCAATGATACCAAACAGAATCCACAAAGTTATAATCACATTTACTGAGAGCAATGCCACATGTATTATTGTACTGTATAAACTTCTAGGATAACAACGTATTCCAACAACTTTCTCCACCCGCCGCAACGTTTCCTCAACTCTATTTAAGTTTATATCTGCTCTCACAAAAACCTACTCTGGTATTTGTAAACTTAAATCCCATGAAATACAGAAAGCGATTTTGGCTGTGTATCAATGTCTCTCTCTCTCTCTCTCTCTCTCTCTCTCTCTCTCTCTCTCTCTCTCTCTCTTTTCTCTGTTTATCTATCTCTCAGTCTGTTTTTCTTCTCGCTCTGTCTCTTTTTTTTCCGTATGTATGTCTCTCTCGGTTTCTTTTTCCTTCATTTTCTATCTCTTTCACCCTCTCTGTCTCTCTCTCTCTCTCACTCTCTCTTTTATAAATATTACACACTTATAGTAGATACCTCCTAGAATGTATGTTCGTGTGTGTGTGTGTGTGTGTGTGATGGGAGGAGTAATGGGCTAGCGAGTTGGTGTGTTTACCTTTGAAACCTCGAGCCACCTGCTGGAGGTTTCCCACGGTGGGCGGGTGGATAAATTCGTGGC